AACATAATATAAAATGTACCTATAATTGAATTACAATTGAAACGGAATTAACAATAGTTGGGGGATTGGATCTAGCGTTTTTTCGTCCGTTCGTAAGAGGATGTTGTCCAATAACCACCCCCATTCGAAATCTTTAAAACAATTGTTTTTTAAGCGATAACGCATTAATTGCGTAGATCAAAATAACAAAGATGGATTTTGAGGATTTTTAGGAGCGAACAGGAAGGAAGAGGGAAGGAGGGGGAGTGTGCGATATAGTCATCTTAAATTTTCTGTTCTCTTATGATAAAGGTTAATCGTAAAAAAAAAAGACTATTTCCGGATTTGTTATCGAACGAAGTAACTTCGAAAGCTGCTCCCGCGTTTTTTACGTTGAGTCAGCACGGTTGTACGATCTCTATCTTTCTAACGTGGTATATAGGATTATTTATTTCGAAGGTTCTTTACGGAGGAGAGATTATGAATCCCTGATACCCTTTTTCTTTCTTTCTATCTATTTATCTTTCTTCCTTTCGTTCTTTCAGTTTGTTTGTTTTTTTTTTTTTTTTTTTTTTTTTTTTTTTAAGGAGGAAAAGTTTCCTTTTTCTTTTTCCTTCCTTACTTTCTTTCTTTTTCCTCCCTTTTCTTTTCCATCTTTTTCCCTGTCCGTAATGTCTAAATAGTCGTCTCACGTACGTGAGTACTCTTGTATTAATCGCATAAAATAAGATTGGCCATACTCGATCGCATGGTGTCTACGGCTTCTCTGAGTAGCTTAGAGGCTTGGCCTTGTTCGAACTAATTCATTTTGTTCCGACATTCGACACTCCCTTGGAAAAGATGTGTGTGTGTGTGCGCGCGCGCGCACACGCACGCAATAATAAAGAAAACAAAGAACAAACAAACAAGAAAAAAAGAAGATCCACGAAAGAACTGATCCACGTGAATGATGTGCTCCTTTTTTCGGTGCACAATTTAACATCATCGTTCGTTCGCGTGTCTCCTGTATTGAATCTCGATCGATCAAATATCAATACGGTACGATAGTATTATTATATTCCACTTTTATAACTTACATTATCAGGACTAGAAAAAAGAAAAAGAGAATGACTGTTTTGAGAAAGCATTTTTTAACGAGCAATTTTATTAATTCAATCGATCAATCGTGTTAAGGACACGAAGAGGAAAGATCGAACGAAACGTTATTTATATACCATTCTTCTAAGTTAATTAACTGACATATATATAAGTGTATGTGTGTGTACATACACGTGTGTATATATATATATATATATATATATATATATATATATATATAGATGTATATAATAGATAGATATTGGATTGGTCAATAAATAATATCAGAATGTTCAGTATATATTTTACATATAAATAAACGATACTATATTATAATATATAATAGTATTAATATAATTAATAATACAGTATTAATTTGGCTAATAAATAATCTATCGGTAAAAAATTTCTACAAGAAAATTAATGAATCCAATCTTGTTTATTTATATAAATATAAAATTTAAAAAATTTTGACATTACTTATTGGTCAATCTAGTATGTATGTATGTATATGTATGTGTGTTTGTGTCTGTGTGTGTGTGTGTGTATATATATATACGTAGAATGTAAACAGTAAAAAATTAAGCTAACGAATAAAGATCTTGATAAAGGTTGAACAATATCAAATTTAACTTCATTCCAATAATGTTTCGAATAGTAACGTCGACCTTACCGTTCACGATAATGTCAAGCCATGCGATATCGTCTCTCCTTAAACCCCACGGCGCCCCTTTATTACTTTACTTCTCCTCTATCTTTGTCTATCGATAGAAATGTTTCGAGGTCGCTTACTTCGCGAATAGTGTCTATCGTCCGATGATGAGAAAGACGCGCGTCATAAGAAATACGTTGGAAACTATTAGATACAGGTATTTCGTTACATGCCTTTTGATTCATCGACGATCGATCTATCCGTAGAATTATTATTATTTATGTACTCATGTGTTATCTTTTTCATCATACATTCATAGACATATGTATATATATATATATATATATATATATATATATGTATTTATATAAACATCTAATGTTATAATAATAACATTTAATGTTATAATAATAATATTTGTTTTGTACACACACATATATATATACATGCATGTATGTTTGTGTGTGTATGTATGTATATCAAAGTGTATATATATATATATAATATATATAATATATATATAATAATATATATATATATAAATGTATTCATATTAAATACTTGAGATAGTTCTATAATTAATCATTAATAAAATCTTTTGATAAAGATTATTATTCATACGTTTATATTATGATACATACTTTACCGATACTCATGTATTATCTTTTTCATCGGATGCTTACATATATGTATGTACATATATACACTTCAAATGTTATCGATAAAGAAAGATACTTACTTCATATATCGATGCAAATGTTGAATTCGCAAGAATATTTCTATGATCAAACATTAATGACATTGTGTTTTTTTCATTCATTTTTCTTTCTTTCTTCCTAATTAAACCTTATTAATTCATACGTTTACATTACATACCAGCATTATTATTTATACGATCCTTACTGTAAACCGTAAATAATCTTTTACATCTCTTATTGCAATTTATATTATAGAGATATTAACGATGTTTCTTTTTTTAAGGTTCGTACAATTAAACAATACTTTGAATTATGCATGTATCTCAATAAAAATCTTATGAAATATAAATCTTAATATATAGAAAGGCCTAAAAGTCTTTAAGTAGGTCAAAAGTTTTTAGATAATTATAAAAATTAATTAATCATCTTTGATTCCGAAGAGTTCCTTTCTAGAGAAATATTTTAGGCTAATTTTTTTTTTTTAATATCGCAGTAACACAAGCCAAAAATGTCACGAAAA